GTGGGTGTACCGGACATAATTGCGGCTCACCAATATGCTAGGCCGCAGAGTGGAACCACGCTCTCAAACGAAACCGGACTATGTGCACTCCGCAAGTATAGGTGCCCGAAAACGAGTGCATCGCCGTGCAAGGTGACGACTGTCTCAGCAACTATCACAATGCAGGCTCAGCTGATGAAGTTAGAGTGTTGACAGCCCAGGTGGCTAACCCAACATGTCAGTACTGGTGGGAGTTGTGAAGGAACGAAGGCAGAACAATGGGGTGCACACGGTTTCCAGAGTTGAGCGAACATGTGGGTGGACATCAATATGATCCTGATCGGGTTGGTGGTGCACGCTGGATTTACCAAAGGTGACTTGGCGCCGAATTAGAATTAGGGCAAAAAGTGCGAACAACCGGGAGCTTCTACATCTTATAGTAACGTAGCAAAAGATCGAAACTGTTTTGGCGCGCGACCGAATTTGGATCGTTGCCTTGACAGTACACACTCTCTCGTTTGCCTTTCAAAGCGCCATTCTTGCGCAATTACTGAGGAATGATGAGAACACGAAAAGAGCAGTTAACTAGGCTACGTGCTGTTTAATAGTAGTTCCTTGTCAATCTCCTTCATTCTCAATGGTTTGTAAGTTATAAAAGTGGCGAGCCTGCCTGGGAACGAAGTAGAAAAATGCCGTAATTAGCAAAACAGTCCGACGAAGAAAGTCAATCTGCTGCCACTGACCTCTGTGTCAAGGCTTCTGCTTCTTTAGACTCGTTTTCTCGTGCCTTAGAAAAAATATAATCCATTTGACGTCGGCGGTATGCATACCACCCATAACAGCAGAGGAACGCGTTGTCCCTAGAAAACCATAGTCCTGATGGGAAAAATAAGTGCGGTTGTATATCCGGTACTCCCCCAGGAGATACGTTTGATACTGTCGTGGATAGTAAGATCCTTGAGGAAGTTATCGTGATGTTCGTGGCCTTTCGCTGATTGCTGGATCGTCCTGCTTTGCCTGCTCCGTTCCGCCGAGAGTTCGACGAAAGGAACCAGTGGCCAGGAGAAAGTATAAGGACACGGACTGGTGAATTGCGGAAGATTGACGATATTGCGTACGAGGACGAATGGTCAGATCAACGAATGTTAATGCAACTTTGTGATGGAATTTCTGCTACGCTCCCCGGGCGTTTGGACGCAGTCTTACAGAGGGGTGCACAGCTGTAACAAGTTGATGCAACAATGGGTATGTCTATATCGCGTTGCTCTGTCTTGGAAAGAAGCGACTGTTGGTATATCCCATAGGACCGGAGGCCAGGGTACCGCGTACACCACAGAGGTTCCGGCCCACGACCGTCAATCCCATCGGGTAGTCGGATGCGCCGACCGCAAGAACAGAACCGCGGAAATTAGAGACCATTCCGTGGCAACACCCAGATAAGCGTGATCGTGTTCGAACAGATTTCATACCCACCGTTATGTGCACGTCGGCTACAATGTCAGCATTGACAGTAGAATTACGAGTTGCGGGTGTTCAGTTGATAGGCCCTATCGACACTGGCACATGTAAGAGCTTTGTTAGATACAGCATAAGCAGACAGATGATCGATCGCGTATGGGCGCTTGGCCGTTACCAACTGACTGCTGCTAACGGAGAATTCATATCCGTTCGGGAATCGATAACTGCGCGGGTTGACATTGCTGACGAGATCTTCAGCCACGAGTTCATTGGCGCCGACCGGATCTCCTTTGCTAGCATTATTGGAATTGACTTGTTGCGTCGTTCGAAATGCTGTTTGAATCTGGATATGTGTCAGATAATCGCGGACACTTGCACGGTATTGCTTAGACTTGGCGGAAATGATGGTTCGGAAGCATTTGCAATTTATGAGGGTAATTCAAACAGTAAAAAAATATGTGAACGCCTTTGTTCACTCACTCGACTTAGACACTGACAAGCGTACACTAGAAAAGCTGTGTTGCGGAATCATTTGGAGGCATTCGTATGGCGAGCTGGCGAACTAGATCGAAGTAACATCGTAAAACACATCATTGATAGAGGCGATGCTAAATCAGTGAGAAGTGCACCGAGGCGAATCACAGCTCACTGGCAAGTAGAGGTACAAAAATGACCGCGGCATGCTGGAGAAGAATGTCGTTTAATCTCCCACCTCTTCCTGAGCATCCTCATAGTTCTTGTAAAAAAGAGGGACGGTAGTCTTCGATTAGATGTGGACTATAGATAAGTAAAAGAACTAATTCGGAAAGACGCGTTTATTTTTCACAGAATTGACGACCTATTTGATGCGCTTAGATGTTCGGTTTAATTTAGCACGCTGTATCCGGCTTCCGGGTATTGGCAGGTAGAAGTTGAGGAAAGTGACGGAGCGAAAACTGCTTTTGTAGTACCCTCAGGTCTCGGAGTGTCAGACCATGCTTTTTGGCCTATCGAACGCCCTTGCGACAATTCAACGCCTTGTGCAGAAGGTGCTGCAGGAAGTGACTCCCCCTATATGTGTTGTTCACTTGGATGATGTTATTGTACATGGAAAAAACAGGAGCATGTACACACTCTGTCGTTTGCTTTTCAGAGCGCCTTACTTCCAAAATTACTGGAGGACAAAACGCAAAAACAGTGGTTAACTGTAGTTTCTTTCGTACCATTTTATATTACGTTGATTCTCCTTTATAGAGGTTACGTGTTGTGTTATAGAAGTTCCTTCACAATCTCCTGCGTTCTCACTGGCTTGTATGTTACAGTAAGAGGTGAATCCAATCAAAAAACCATACAACCAAATAAATTTCAAGTGTACGTTTGAGTCCATCGAGAGTCCTCAATGCTTCGAAAGCGGCACATAATCTCAGAAGTGAAAGATAATTTTAACATGAGGTGGACCACGGTCAACCCGCTATTGCTGGGAGTGTATACGAAGTGGTGACATCGCCAGCGTCACTAGTTCTCAAAAATGAATTCCACAACGGGTTTCAGGGTTTGCAGGACTCATTCGGTGCAAATGCTTGAAGGAGGAAATGGAACTGGGCAAGCAGTGGGCACTTGCACAATTACACCACCGTGAGCAGCGCTTGACATTGTGAGGTGAGGAATTCAGTGTTTAATGGAAAGTGTGCGCGTCTTGGAGTAGGGGACCACGGCGAGATTATTCACATAGTATCTGCCCACCACGATGCAACAGTGAAGCATTCGGATTAACACTGAAGAGTAGATCTAGTTTACTTCTGTAAGATGCCCGACCAACCGCAATGTGTGATCAGGCCGTATGGAAGATGCCAAAAAATGGTAACGTCGTCGATTAGGTTGGAGCGGCGTTGTTTGCTATGGTCAAAAGGAAAAGATCGCAGGCAAAGGCTCCAGTAAGAACGATTGCAGTTGACAAGATTAATTTCGATCACAAAAATCCAATGGAGAACGAGGGAAACCAAGAGATACAAACAATAGGGTAAAAAGCATAAGTTGATATCGCACTCCCCAATGATGAGCCGTGGAGTGGGGGAATTAGCTGTTGTTGCCGAGTACATATGGGCATCAAACTCTCGCACCCAATATTAAGGATGTCGAACGAGTACGATGTGCCTTCGGAAAAAAGAAGTGCCGTGGGCAATTTAACCATGTTTACGTCGGGGCAGACCGTTTGACCTTGGAAAGGGGGTAGAAACAAAGGAGTAAGCACGTATGTGCGCAGTATGTGAAGTGATGGAGGAAGCAGCCGAAATGAAACAATGCCAGACAATCTATCTAGCTTCTGGCCAAAACAGACCGAAGTGTCTGGGCTGAACACATGATCCGGAAGCCCGGGTTCTAGACAGGTCAAGGCAATGGGCTGTTTACGAGGATACGTGGTGTTCAAAAGTAACAAAAATCAGACACGAGGGAGAGCAGAGCTGATGATGCTAAGGACGCTATTCAGGTTGACTGGAACAAAACCACGACACCATGCTCAGGATGAGGCGACGGTGGAAAAAGTAAGACAAATCCCAGACAGCGTCGAATAGGACTGTGTGAGGTGGCCGCGAGTGACAGGACTCAAGCGGTGTTGCAACCGGCGTCAATCGTGCTGGGGATTATAGGAGGAAAGTTGGCAATCAGTATCAGGAGGAATGTAAGGTAGGAAGTATCAGCGGTAGCACTATTTCGCTTATGCATCCTGCTGAATGCATCGGATAAGACGACTCCTTGGAAACTGCGCGACGGTGAGTGCAGGATGTAGCTGAGGTTTGATAAAGTATGGACTGGAATAAAACCAAAATGCCCAAGCCAAATTGGGACGGCGATTAGATCCCTCAACTAAACCCCTTACCACAGCAGGTTGATCGCAAATCAGTAAAGTAGTAATGATGCAGTTTTATAGACGGAGGAGGCCTGAAGACTGAGTATGATTGAATTCCGGACTAGGATGTGGTTAGGAGGCACAATCCAGTACAGCTTAACGGACCGAGAACGCAAGCAAAATGCTGCGCTACATCCTAATCGTGCAGAGACATCAAACGCCGGGGTTTTAGTGATTGATTTAGAGGGTGTCGCAAACATAAGGCAAGACAGCAACGAATGTCTTGAATGAAAAAGTCGGTATGTGGTAACTTCATTAAAGAAACCAAGAAATTTCCACAAGTATTGTATGCATGTAAACGCAGACAGAAATGCAATTCAACAATGAGCGTGAATAACGGGAGGTACATGAACAACCGGGGCTACACCCAACCACTAGATTAACGTAGCGCTGTACCCGTCATCATATCGAGAACCACAAGACAGCCAGTGTTAGCGAGGAAATGAATAGCATATACGGTGAACCATTTGTGAGCATTAAAGCTAGCTCTGGCAGAGAGTTCCGGAACGAAGTCAGCGCTGCTGTGCGGGGTGTTGGCAGTGTCAATCAAAAATGCGCCATTGTCCGAGGGTGAAGCAATGACAAAAGTATAATGACAACGGTATCAAGGAGTTTATTATCGGCATCCGTTAGGAAGTACTTGTGGCAACAAGTATTAAACAAAACGCCAACTCACTGTCCAGCCTGTTCGAATAGACGGATGATCAACACTGTGGCTTGTCTGGCTTGGATCACCATTGTCGTGGCAGTGAAGAAGATAACAGTGTAGATACTCAAGCAGGACAATTTCGCTCCAACTGCTGTTTAGCAGCTGCATTTTGTCCTTGACCTAATGAAACGAGGAACAAACCGAGGGCAAGTCATTACACAGTAAGTGCCGAAGTGAAGGCAATGCGTATATAAGTGATGCAAAAAGTGGCTCACTTACATCCGTGAGGTCACCATTGATGTCTATTGGGAGCCATGTTTAAATAAATAAATAAACAGTTTATTTCCCGATGGTGCGATACACAGCCCAACTGAATGGACTGATCAATCTGTACAACGGCATCGCATAAAATATTTGGCTATGTCGAACTATACGAACCAAACACAAGGTGGGCGGAGTGAGCTTCATTTTAGACGATGCGACGGCCAGCAGAACTCAACCTAGTGATCGGTGAGAGATTTCCGCTCCCAATTCAATGACCGTCCTGATCGAATCTAAATCGTCCCAACATCCAGGAAGAACAAGTAAGATGCTCCCCAGTAAGCGAGAGGCAGCGCATGTAACACGTGACCGAGGAGTCACAAGCTATTCAACTTAGTGGTCGGCTTAAGGAAACAACGTGACAATCGCCGTCGTATTCACCTACGAACCGCATTATTGCGAACATACCAGCGGTGTCCAACGAAGGCGACACCTGTAAGCGAGGAAGTCAAAGTCAAGCAGTACGCCCGTACCCAGAGTACCGACGCTTCGCTACCGTGCAACCACCACCGGTCACATGTGGGGTAAGGATACTGCGAGGGCCGCCCTGTCCCAACGCAGGCTCGAACTTGCGCCCTCGGATCCCAAGGCAAGCATACTACCTCTAGGCTACGGGCCGGCCGTAAGCGAGGAAAATTAATAAAACAAAAGTACTTGAGACCTGCAGATGAAAGGAGCCAGGCTCCAGTCCTGTGAAGAAAAACCGTGGTCCTGCATACTCGGCTTTCTATACTGACAGACATTCCAGCTAAAGTTCTCGTAATAAACTGAGAGACTGAAGCGATTCCATGCGCGTCACTGTTAGTCTCACCACAAAATGCATCGACTGATTGACAGCGAAACAGTGTCATCCACAGAAACAGATTAACCAGTAGCTCACGCAGAAGCTAAGTACCAATGCTGTGAGACTCTGAAAGGGAAGACAATCTATGGTGGTGGTAGTGGGGGTGGATACGATAAAAGTAAATCACAGTGAGAGAAAGATGGTGAACCCCACATGTGGACAGCACAAGGTGTTCACGACTTCATCCTAGACAATAACGTAGTCTGATGTGTTCGCGTGAAGCACAAACGCGAAATGTAAGATATTTTATGGGAATAGCTTACGTGCACGTATATCGAACGTAATATGGCGATAGGTTGAATCGAAAGCACACTGGAAATCGGAGAGCAGTTACAAGGGAATTGCGAAACGTGTGGTTCTGGTTTAGCACATTTTGCGGAGTGGAAACTTGGTTTTAACGGCCACACACCGGTCGAAAATCTACATACACCTCTTGTAAACGGGACTTCTGTCCAGCAGCAACAGGGCGAATATGAATGACCAACCAAGGGAATCAAGATTTATGCGACTGTCATTTGTGAAGACTGGCACCATGAATGATTCACCCCAACTGATCGAAACCAACTTCTCCTTCCAGTCCCGTTAGGATAGATGAGTAAATTATTTACAGAAGACTGCCCCACTCTTTTGAAACGGTGATAGCAGGAAAATTAGAACGAGTGGCACGTAAGAGGACCATCGCGATGAGACTGGACCTTAACGCGGTGCGACAGTTTGTGTGCCTCAGTGATCCGTTGAGCTATGCTGGGTGGTGCTTTTTGTACCTTCAGCGCCACTCATAGCAGATTGGTCAATGGATAGAGGTGAGACAAACTCAGTCTGTTGGCCCTCCACGTTGGGTGTTGGAATGAGGGTGGCTTCTTACTCTCGAAAATGGACTCCCTGTAGTACAGTGCGAAAACCCCGCTGCCTTGCGGTCAGGTTTTTGAACCAAAGGCTTTGGTTGAGAACCCTTATCCTTCTCCTGTCTACGCCTGGACAATTTGACATTATTCTCCCCATGCAATACAATGAACCTTTCTCCTAACAATTTCTTGATGCTCTGGCCGTTGCAGAGGATAATCAACGGCGCCCTCTCTGCTGCATCGAGCAGGGTGGATAGGGGTATGGATGCTACTGCTCAGGCCTTCCCGTCTGCTTATCCCGCCTTCTTGCGCATTTTCATCTTTATCGTCCCGCCCTAACTATACTTTTACGCCCAGCATTTTCAATCCCTCAATTCTTGGCCCTTCCCCGCCTTGCCTGAATAGTCGCTTGTTTTCTAGTTTCAAACGATACACCATCACAAGGCATCGCTCCAATCCAGTTGACAAGTCTATGTTGAACCAAGCGGACGTTAGTTCATCCGTTTCCCTTTGGAGTCCTTGACCCTGGCTAAGACTGGCATGCTTCAACGTGCGCACTTTGCTATAGATTGGCCAACAGGTAGCACTTGCACGCACACTAGAGACCCTCTCGACGGATATTTGCTGTTTTACAAAAATCCGCCTGCAAGATTCGATCTCTGTGTTTCCTCTGCGATCCCCCACATGCGACACTGGCGTCACATTCTCAATGCGCCTGTCTGGCGATGGCGCAGCTTCAAATGCCGGTCAAGCTGCCGCCGGCATTGTTTTGAGTCCCCTGGCTGAAGCTGCCCTGATCGACTGGATCCCTGTCAACAGCCGGATGTGCGCCGTTAGGTTGGCTGGTTCGTTCCAGGCTTAGAAGTCGCGCGGCTTACGCTCCCACAAACTGCAGTCCTGATTCGGTGAAAGATGACTACTATCACCAACTCAATGATATTCTTCGTTACAGAAGAAGCACGGATACTGCGGTGCTTGCTGATGAGCAAAACGCCCAAGTCGGAAAATTGTCCTCTGATGAGCTACATCTGGGCGGCCAACATGGTGTAGGCTCCTGTAATGATAACGATGAACGATTGCTACATCTGTGTGAAGATGCTCGTCTCTTTCTTGCGAGCACGAACTTTCGACACAGCACCCGCAGTAGAGTGATTTGACGTCTACCAGCCTCGGACCAGCTATGGACGCAAATTAATCACATCGTGATTACTTATTGCTGGAGAGGCTGTGGCAAAAACGGTCGCTCGATCTGGAGCACCAGCGTGGACCTCGATCAAGTTCTTGTGTGTGCTGATCTGCAAGTGCGTTTCGTCGGACGTCCGCAACGTCGCTCTGAGAGCATTGACACCAGGCGGCAGGCGAAGCCAGGTGTTCTGAATGCGTATCAAACTACGCTGACATCTGGGCTGAATAACCGTCCACTGAACACCGTCGAAGATCGTTGATCGAAACGAATACAATGTGACTCGATAAAATCTCAGGGTAAAACTGAGTGCTAGCCTGAAGAGAGACCGTAAAGCCCGGTGGTCTCATCGTGCATCGGAAGTGGAAACAGCCACTATCGTTGGTAATCATAGTAAATTATACCGTCTGATACGGGGAATAGGCAGCAGGAGACCAGGTGTTAGCGACGCAATACAGGACGAGAGTGGACAGTTGATGCACAGATTGTTAAAACGCTTGGAATGTTGGGCCGAACACATTGCAGGACAGCAAGAAGAAAAAAACATTTAACAGGATACGCTGAATTCAGGTGTTCTGGTTAGCTGTTTACACACATTGGTGGAATTATCACGTTGCCTACAAAAGGGGAAGCAATGTACAAGGTCATTCAGTTCAAAGAAAAACGATGAATAACCTCACCAAAGTAGGGTGAGGCTGGCCGTAAGTTCAGTCAGCTTGCATAAATTGGGCTTAAGCCGCCGAATAGCTGAGGCTTCGGCAAACTGAAGCAATCAAGCATTGCATTACTTTAAATAAATCACGAGGATATTGACACTTAGTACCATCCAGGACGTGTGGAGCAATAGGGCTAGCCGGCAGCTTGGGAACGGTAGCGCCCATATTTCGTAGGATGTGCTCTGAAACCCTAGCGGATAACCTCGTCTCAGTTCGGCCAATGTACTTGCTACCACAAGTACAGTGGAACAGATAACCACAAGAAGCGGTAACGTGAGGGTGTGGCTTGTCCAGGTTAGATTTGCAGAGCAACTTCCTAACTTGGTGCAACAACACCAGTTCGGCCGCGTAATAACATTTCCCAACTGCCTGGTGGAGACGGTGCTGAAATCTTCCATCGTTTTGATCGTCTTTCAATGGCAGCGTAATACACACATTTTTTCTTGGGGACACTTATCAAAGGCTTCCCACTATTTTCTGTGTGTGCATACCGAGCTATGAATCTCGCGAAGTATCCATTTTTCTGTAGTGTTGATGACACACCTTCTAGTTCACTGTCGATCGTATCTTCGGAACAAATTTTACGAGCTCTTGCAAAAGAAGAGCGGACCAATGCTCGTTTGTAATTTATAGGACAAAAACTGTTGAAGTTCAAATATTGTCCTGTCTAAATAGGCTTTCGATACACAGATTGAGTGGGTGTGCTTTCTGCATTCCTCTTCAGGTGTCTACATCTCATTCCATTGTGAAGTTGATCGCAGGGTGGCATTTATTTAGAACTTCAAATAAACGTTCTGCCTGTTGAAGGCTATCAACTACAACGAATGTGTCGTTAGGATATCTACCGTACATATATAAGGTAGTTTCGCGTGCTCCAAATGGCCCATGAAAATGTCAGCCAGGACTAGCCCAAGTGGATTGCCCATGGCGTAGCCACAAGCTGCTGGCGCTGTTAAAAATCAGATTTGCGAGGACCAGTAGCGGAGCTGTATGCTATTGAGCGCGTCCCCAGGTTGGGGATTAGGGAATGCCTTCTTTGTGGAGGTAGGTGCGAATAAGTCTTGTTTGCTTTGCATGCGAGGGGAATAATCAGTCGTGGACAAGCACGGCAAGGACCCACTCCTGCGCTGACCCTTGGTGGTGATCAGCTAGAAGCTGTTCAGGAATGCAAATACCTGGGCAGCAATATTAGCGCCCGTGGGATCGAAGCTGAGATTACGAAGCGCATAGCAAAAACTCGAGGTGTTTGTGTCAATTTCCATTGCCATCACGCCCTGAAGGGCAGAGTTTATAATGCAGCCGTTCGTTCAACCCTCTTACACGGTTGTGAAACCTAGGCTATCAGGTCAATAGACATAAAGAGGCTAGCCACGTTCAATCATCATTGCCTCCGCAGCTTAGCTCATGTCTGGTGGGAGCACCGCGTGAGCAATAAGCGTGTTCGGCGCCGCGTATTTGGTACAGGAAGAGCTAGTGAACGGCTCAAGATGAAACCAATCACTCCGAAACTTAGGGTCATGGTACATTGGCATTCATGTCTAAAAACATCACTTTCCAGAGGTGATCGGTGTACAATCGCAAAAGCAACAACCTTTGTTTGTGCATTCGAAATAAAGCTCGAACATCCCACATAATTGGCCTTCAGACAAAGTAAATTGTTCTTGCTTCGACAGCCATAACCCTACGAACAAATGCGAGGTAATAGCATAGCAAATTGGCTAGCTAATCTCGCAGCAACAGAAGTTTCTCATGGTATTGAAAATGCAGTTTGTTGGTCGCGGCCGCAAACAAATTTTCGCTAATGCTATTCCGCGCGCGGCTGAGTCGCACACAAATGGGCGCTCACGAGAATGCAATCAATGCGCTGGGAGTGGCCATGATGATGAGAATGATGCCAATCAGGAATCTTTAAAGACTCAGGATCAATCGCGAGAGGACTTGGCTGAGGCCTGGTTTCTACTGCCGGAGACACAGTGCGCGTCAAGACCCAGAGCTCCCAGTGCAGCCAGTTGATCTATCTCTTTCAGAGCGCCATCGACGGTGGCAACCATGGAAATACGATGGAGTACAGGTTACTCTAGTAATTCTGTTGCTTGATGTTTTTAAAAACCACTAGGTGTGCATCAATCACGTGCAACCAAACTATTGCTAAAACACGTCGTGCAAACTATGACATCGCGGGGTCCAATGATTAAAGGCAAAGGAACGAAACTAGGAAGAAAATGTCAAAAGGCGCTTGTGCTTGACCTGTAATGATACAGCCGCCAGTGTCTTAGATGTGGTGATACATACCAGTCAGTGATGAGTGACAGACAATGAGACGTAGCAAACAAACTTACTGGTATAACTTTGAACAATTCCGTTTGACCCATCCAGTCGACTAGATGAAATAAGCAGTTCTCCAAGAGACAACATAAGGAGCATAAGAGGTACTCTGCGGCAGGTGGGGATAATCGCTCAGGTGCGATGGACGTGCCAGTCCCACTAGGGCCGGTGGATCCCAGCTGCTCCAGGTAGGATCGAGAGGATGAGCCAGGACAGAGATTACCAAAACCAAAAGACGCCAGCGTAGTCTGTGGAGTTGTACTGCTAATGGAATCTGCGACGGCCCCATCGGTGGCGTATGTCTGTTCCGGTGTAGACAACTTGGAATCGGAGGTACCTGAGTCAGGTTCATGCTTGACAAAGTGGCCCAATGGTGCGCCGTTAGATGGAAAAGGCGCAGCATCGGTTAGTAGATCGTTCGTTTTTTCGTGTACAAATCGCCGGGCGTGGTGTAGCTCAGTTAAATGCATTTTTATTTGCTACAGTGAGAAGTGAGATGCGAAAATGAGAGCAATATGGACAAACCGTTTAGTTCTATGAGGTGTTATGTTAGAGAAGTCAAATGCCGTCACAGAAGTAGCTGTTGAGCGAAGAGGTCAAATCGAACCAAGGTGTGTGCCATACTACTTCAAGGGAGATCATTCTGGATTAGTCTAGAGTACACGAGCAAAAAAACATGTGAACGAAACAGAGAAACGGGGATTGACTGCAGCGTTTCTAACAAGGAAGGTGCAATAAAACTTGCGACCACAATGGACCAAGAGGCCAAGTCCGAAAATCAACAATGAATTGGTTGAATGTTCAGTGCAAAGGGGAATTTCGGCATGTGAAGCTTGATACGAAGAGAGTGGCGTGGCGGATCTGCTTACAATGACCTGAAACGATGACAAGCGCGATCACAGGCAACAGACCCATTACGGATTGTGGTAGTAGATGTGATGATGGCTACGGAGCCAGAGGGACCGGATAGGAAAAAGTGGCTGGCAAGGATCGGTCGGCATGTTGGACAATACCGTGATCGGCAAATCACGATCGCAAAGGAGCATGGCGCCAAATAAAAATCGATACAAAACAATGGCACCTAGAAAAGGAGACAGTCGACATCGGCGCTTAGACATTACGAGGCCGAGGAGTTTTGGTCGATGGGAAATGGATTTATGAACCAGAGCCGAGCATGAAGAAAAGTCAATGGGAGATTTCAGAGAAGGGTGGAGATCACAACGTGACATTCTCCATAACGATCAGGTTATTTTGCGGTTAGTAAACGGACCAAAACCCAGCGATCGTTCGCCCTAAAAGAAAGTAACACCATATGATGACAAATAGATGACATAGTTCCGTCTCAAAACCAATTTAGGATTACAATCCCCACTTTGAAAAGAGAACCGCAAGTGTTCAAAAGAAAAGCATGCCGTCTGTCGAATTCTATGACGCATCAGCTATATATGAAGTTTCCTGTTAATTATATACAGCATCAGAGAGATGTTAATTATTAGGTAGAATTCGGCACGCTCGCGATTGGACTCAGGGTCATAGGTAACATCCTGTACGAAAATTGTTGTGCTGAGAAGCGGTGCGATAAGATAAAACACTGTTCAACTAGTTGCAACTGCCCAACATCTTAGCAGAGGAGCAATCATACTTTGAGGCGAAGACAGCTGTTCGAATAGACTTTGTACCGCTCATGGATGGTAGAGACAAAGTGGGCGCCAATTATAAGCGATGATTCTATTCGGCCGCTTGGCTGCGCGTCAACTAGTAAGGACTGTCTTGTGAACTTGTGTGAATCAGTCACGGACAGCGTCGACCCCGTGACATCAAGCAAATAAGAAATAAACGACAAAAAAGTTTAGAATCAGCGTTGAAGAAAGTTCCCCAATATTCAGGAAAGCGATGTGTATGGGATAGCAAACAATATCTAAGGTAGCAAGTCGGAAAGGAAGACAAATTCATGATTGGGAACGACACTGTACGCTGGCCTCTTATGCCACGTTCCAATAAATAAGAAAATTAAGAATGGGTTCTTAGTATGAGAGAAAACCCTGTTATTGGCAAGTATGTATATGGGAGCTTTGAGAGGAAAACATGGACAGACTACTGTACCTCGATGAAGTGTGGTGACGCTGTATGGATAACACTGGTTACAAAACGGGATAAAAGTAGAAATACTTGTAGCGCTTGAATTCCACTGATAAGGCCACAAATTTTACTAGAGGATTGGAATGTTAGCCATATACTTCATAGAAATGGAAGAAAACTGGCGAAAATAATTCGGTAAACCGATGGACACAATCGGAGCGGCCAAACATGGCTTAGGTCACCAAAATCGCTGCTTTGCTAAGACGAACTCTCATCTACGTGGGTTGAATGGTGTTGAACCTGGCACAGAAAGCAGACAGTCAGGCAAGACAAATAACTTTTCTAATAATCTGCCATTTTCCTTATTCATATTACACAAACTCAAAAGTCACTTACTAATCAATCACAAATCGACGACCAAGTCAGTGGATTATGTTTGACCCAGTGCATCATTTTAAATAAATCTATATTTCTACCTATTTTACTTTCACTTCAACAAATTCTTGAAGTGAACTAGGTCTGCAATTTAGTGAAAACGGGGCATCGTGCAGTGATCAAAGTTTACCATTTCAAAGGAACCTCACCATCTGAAATCCGCCATGATATGCTTCAATACAATGCACGACGATGCCCTACATATGCCACAGTTAAACAGTGGGTCCAAGAGATTAAGCGCGGCAGGGTGAGTATCGAAGATAAGCCCAGATTAGGGATACCATCAACCGCAACCACCAAAGAAAATCTTGACTTAGTAATGGATGTGATCATGCAAGATCGCCGATAACAACTGGTCAGGTAGAGGAGGCTAAGTATCTCCCAGGAGCTGGCAGATAATATTCGAACGAATCAACCAGGCTATTCAAAACATTCTGCTCAATGGGTGCTACGTCTTCTGAATCCTGAGTAGAAGCGCAATCCACATGTGATGTCAAAGAAGAATTTGGCAGTGCTTGAGGTAGATACTGATGATTTTCTTGTACTATTCATCACTATGGATAAGTGCTGGGTTCACTACTTTCAAGCAAAAAGAAAATAACAAGCAAAGCAATGGAGGCGTGTATCATCTCCTAAGCCAAAGAAGACCAATGTCACATCATCAGCTGACAAGGTGATGTCAGGCTTTTCTGGGATGCCCGAGGTGTGGTTATGATTGATTTCCTCGAAACAGTCCACATCATCATCGGAAAACAATACTGTGAGCTTATGAAATGTCTCAGGCAAAATATCTGAGAAAAGAGGCTAGGAATGCTGATCAAAGGAATCGTTTTCCATAACGACGATGCTCCAGTCTATACCTCTCCCAGTGTCCAGAAAACAATCCACGACTGCGGTTTCCAGCTTTCTCCTCACTCACTCGATTCACCAAATCTGGCTCCTTCTGACGTCCACATACTTCCAAAATTGAAAAAACCTTAGTAGGTAAACATTTCCTCAACGACAGTGACGTCATTGAAGTCATAGAAGCGTTTTTTGGGTCGCAAACTGAGAAGTTCCTTTTCACTGGGATAAAGGCGCATCAGCACCGCTGGAGCAAGTGTGTTGCCATTTGTGGGTGATTATGTTGAAAAATAAAAGAATCAAAGACTGTATCCCGTGTGGTATTGTGGGGTACAAAACTGTTCATTCAACCCACGTAGGTCCCATAGTACGAACGTTATGCACACACAGAGAAAGAGAACAGGGAAGGGAGAAATCGTTAAATAAATAAGTGGTTACTTGAGGTTGGAATTAAAAGGCCAGTAGAAGAACCACCTAAAACTAGATCTAAAAGGTATTTTTGGGGATATTCGTCAGAATCTCACGCATACCTGTACGGACAAGCGGATTGGAGTGGTGGAAAGTCCCTCAAAAGAGTAACTTCGAAATCGATTGGAAGGAAATCGAACAAGGACAAAACAAAATTTGATTTTGCAAAAGTACCCTGTCGAATCGTCGAGTAGGAGTAAAATCCATCACAATACGTTGTATCCTACATCGCGGTGAGGCCACTACTTCTTATGCACACACGAAGTAATTCATGTTGAGGCTTGTAGCACCGGAGTTGGCACGATGCACTAAATCTTTGTGTTTCGAGCGGCAAGCGGTCAACATATGGAACCGTGTACTGAAACACAGTCAAGATAGAACCAGTGTCGCAGTCCAAGATATTTCCTGGTGCGTACTACCAATGCACGGTTCAAGGAGCGTTCCTCTGCTGACTATGATGGGGTACGTCTGCCTATTCATATTTACCATGGTTTGTAACTTTTTCCATAAAATCTCGGTGGAATTGTACATATATTATTTCTGCTAGCATCGAGAATAAAATACTCAGTTGTGCTCGAAGCTAATGTACTTGAAGCGTTCCACAAATGGGAACGTATCCCACACATAGAACCATCAGCTGCAACTGTGAAATCAGTTGCAAGGAATCTGTACGTGTGCATAGAGGCCAGAGAGTGAGAAGCTTGACAAGACCTGTGGAACACAACAGAAGCACATAACGGCCACTCAAAGATGCATCTGAAGCCAGAACCTTACTCAGAGAATCAGCAGTGGCGTTGTGAACGCTAGGGCGGGAAACAGACACGAACAACGTCAAGGACTGAGAGTAACACGTCGGAGGTCTGTCGCCGGAGCGCCACTGTCACTGCAAAAGGCTACAAAATGTGGCATTATTGGGCCAAAGGTCCTTACCGATGCGGTGATCACGACCTCTCTAGTCCGTGTACGTACTGTCTGTATTAGAAAAAATAGGCCATAATCTAAGTTATCTCAATAACAAGCAAAAACAAAAGCGACAAATGCAGAATGCCGATTCCTTAGCAACACAAAAAGTACGGATACAAACCCCAAACTCAGCATTATTCTAAGTGCATCGGCACATCAAAGCTGACAATGCAGCTGTCACATATGCACGCAATGAGAAGACGTCGAGCATGGCATCTGCATCAATACACAGGTCTGCAAAGTGTGTGTCAGTGTTTTGCTTGAAACACCGTACAAGAATCTGCAAGAACAACAGGATTGGGCAACCAGTACCAGAAATTAATCACACATCGAGCAAAACAATGAATATGAGAAACGCGGTCTATAGGTGGAATCTAAAGTTTGTAGACATGTCCGCGGGTAATAGGTGTATTCTTGATGAATAATAAATATCTCAAATGAGGCAAGTGCCCCAGTTGAAAGATCCAGAATGTTGCAATAAGATCAGTCCTTTATCTCTTGCATATTAGTGTCTGAAGTTGCAATTTATGACACCTTGGCTGGTAGGATAAGCCATGAAGCGTAGTAAACAAATGAGTCGCTAAGTGTCGTACTTTATCCGATTTTTCATCGCACTTATTATGCCAGGATAATAGGTTGGTGCACAGTACACTAACAATGGACGAATCATGGCGACGTACAGCATGATAGTAGCTTTCACCGACAAGACATGAAGCGTCCGCTTAATTGACGAAAGAATGCGGAGACAGTAACAATAGACTTTATGTATAGCCAGACGAAATCCTACGGGGACAATACTCCAAGGACTTTTAACATTGCAACAGGACACAGTCTTTGTCCACCGACGCTGTAAGTCCTGTCACGACAGCACTTACCGATGCTCAGTAGTTCGGATGGTTCAGGATTCAAACGGGAGGTAGTTAATTGATGCCCATAAATACCTTTCATCGAGGTCACATCGCAGTAGACGCTCATCGATGGTTTCGATATCTCCCACCACACTATTAACTCATCGGCAAACAGCACGGAAGTGGAGTTCAGACGTCCCGGTAAACCACTGATGGGGAACAGGAACAGTGTTGGACCAAGTACTGTGTTCTGTGGCACACCACCAGAGGCGGTAAACCAAGGTGTTCGGGGGTCTATTTACCTGCATGCACCATTGTCGTTCATGCAAAAAATGATTAAATCCATCTCCGTGAGTTTCTGCACACACCGTAATCATCCAGTTTAGATAGTAGAATACTGTGGTTCACTTTATGAAATGTTTTGCTAAAGTCGATCAGAAAAGCGTCAAAACGTATACCTTTGTTAGATGCTTCAACCCAACTTCGCCTGGAACACAGGAGGTTAGTAGCGCATGACCATCCTCTCATGATCAATGCTGAAGTGCAGTGAGAACATTGTATGGTCCTGCAAACTCGAGCAGTGCCCGGTTGACAACTTCCTCCAGTACCTTGGCAAATATTGGTGTCAGGAAAATTCGTCTATAATATTCCGTCTTGTTCTTATGCGACGCTTAGGGAAAGGTCGCAAGATTGCTTGTTTCTATTCTCGAAAGGCGGTCTCTTGAGTCAAGTAGACAGCAAAAAATTCAGTCACTGGCGGTGCGACAATAGGCCCGAATCGCTTGAGAAACAGCGGATGTAAGCCATCAGGGTTTAATTCTCACATGCACTCAAACACCCCCATTCCGTCAGCACGGCATCTAGTGCGTCGAGCTCTTCCATAGCCGCCGGTCAAGTAGACTTGGCGAGGAAAATTGAGCACGATTTAACTCGTTGCAACTTAGATGAATGGTAACATGCCTATTCTCATCTTAGTTCCTTCCTATGCACATCTGATTGACCACTGTGTTCGGTAAGCGCGTCGACCTTGATTCCACTAATAACTATTTAGGTTTTACGCCATGTCTCTTCGCTCTTATTACTCTTTTTTCCGTAGGTCGCTAAGGTTGTATGGCAGCGAAGCATCAGTTCAAATGGTTGATGTACTGCTGTTGACTCATTATGCTTATTACACAACAAAGGCCTTAAGCACGAACATCCTTTAGCGCTAAGAACTTGGACAATGGCCTTGCCATGGTGGCATGAAGCGCGCTAATCAGTAACAGCTGGTCGACCTCACATGGCCTAGTAATTTCTACACCTATCGTTCGTTGCAGGTATGTGACTGATAAGGGTGCAGGAAATGACGTTGCCCCACGACTTAAAGCATCCGATTTCGGTATCTAGAATTATAAATTTTTTTTGTTTAAAGTATGGGATCGGCTTCTGCTTAAGACATAGTAATTCATAAGTGAGACTATCCCCCGACTCATCCATTTATGTTTATCACCATCGATTCAGTTTGTTATGTGCCGGAGCAAATATAATGACATAGCCTTTAACGCAAAAAGGGGAACGCTTCCTATACAATATGTCAAACTAATGTTTAAAAACATTCTGTTAAGGTGTTGGTAGGGCTTGGAGTCTACCAGAAAACTAAGGCATCCCGAGTTCGGTCCTAGCATCCGGCTATTCTACACTACGACAGTAACAGGAAAGCAGGCACAGAGGAGTGATGGAAGTGGATAGTATTGAAACATCGGTTTAAAGGAATGCAAAAAACAATTAAACAAGTCAACACATGAAATGTGAGGAAAAAGTTCATTTGAATAGATATAGGGCAAACAAGATTAAAAAATTGTCTGAGTGGCACCAGAGTCACTTCAAGAGAAACGAATATACCACTGGCTGTGAATGCTTGGGAGCATTACTGGGTACTATGGAGAGAGTGAAATTAAGTTACATTGCTATCGCGATACTAAAGACAGACATCGTGTTGGAGTGTATAGACAAGCTAGATGGGGCATATTCGACGCTGGTTCATAAGCCGGGTGACAGCCTATCTTTAAGCAAGAAAAACTTCACTATGCCAAGGACGCAATATCAAGTCCAATGAGATAATCTAGTGGAAGAAAAAAAGGAAAGGCATTAGCAGTGTACCGATGCTTTGCGCCGACGCCTCGCTACCTTGTGATCAACACAACAGCTGCGCATAGATTAAGAACACTACGGAGTCGCCCGCATAAGCGCAGATTCGAACCGGTGATCGTCGGATTATAAGGCAGACGCTGAACTCCATCGGCAACCGGCTTTACAGTGAGTCACCGTAGAGGTGCAAACGCTGAATCCCCATATTTCCGTTGCTGAACTATATTAGCATGCGCATCTAGGACTGCGGAGAACTGCCCCTATCTGTTACAGATCGTAACATGAGTGACAGAAGCGAAAAGAGAACGACGACCAGAAGGATGGCCTACTCTAATAAAAACGGACTCCCTTAATACAGAAGAGCATCCACTTCCATCGAGACAAAACGTAAAGTGTGCTATTGATGAGTGAGACGGATAGCATTTCAATGATGTTGTATGTAACTGAATGATACAGTGAGCGATCTTACTCTAGCACACATATGTTGAGCCATCTAGCTGCGCAAGAGACAGGCCTTTGCCCCGCATCAGGCACATTATAACTAAATTTTTCGTGAGCCCAGCACAAACAAATTCTTGGCGACTCGACCGATGTGGCATCTATCAGGTAAGCAGCAGTAAGAGTGTGCAAAGGATAGATGTATGGTCAGCGGTAGTGTCAGCGTATCAAGGCCCATCATGCAGAGCAAGCTTGAGAAACGCAAGACATTTATTAAGGGAGACGGGAGTACCTAAACAGCTATTCAAACTTGGAACAATCCAGTCTTGGCAACTCTTATTAGCCAGTTGTGTGCCTTATCATATGGTCTATATCCACGGGGGCCAACAAACGCTATCGCAATCATGTATGTGAAAAGTAGAAAGGGAAATTTCTGTTTAAACAAAATTATGTTCGCTGTGTGTGAAACACCGAATCGTTCGTCACTTGTGACATGAGACAACCACATTTGCACGTGTGTGATCGTAAACATGTTGACACATTAGTTCCGAAACAATCACGAGATTTTAAATTACCGAGAGAAACTAAGGAGTAGGGAAAGCCCATCGAATGCACTGAGAGTCAAAGGTTGTGAACCATCTGACACGCTTAACTTCGAAACATCAGTGAGGAGAAACAACCGTCGACACAAAGTGCATACAAAATCAATGCTCGCTTCTTTTGAGCGTATAAAGCGATTTTTATCTCGCTTTAAATGGAGAGAAGCGATCTACTAGATAACGATGAGCACTGATCAGCTACCAAATCCTGCATGTATAACACGTATATTTCTCGAATGGGCGGGAAGCTTATCATGCTCAAGCACGAGTGAAATATGTATTCAGTAGCGTCCGTATTATGAAGGAATTCCGAAATACATGCTTTGATTGGTGTTGAGTGTTGCGCAAAAGTCTTTCCCACCGGAAGCTGGAAGATCTGCAGTCCTGTAGTGATTGATTTAAACCAACAGATGACGAACGAAGTAGATACGAGAGTCATAGATTCAAACGTTCGAGTACTGCAGAAACTTCAAGAATAATAAGGCAGCCGATATGCAAGTTAAGGAATGAAGAACCGGTAAGAAATAGCACTGATTGAGCAAAAGTGATAAACTTACTGGGATGAATTGTTGTATGAGTTCGCCTAGTTTCTGATCGTGATCAGCAGCGACAGCGAAAAGTTGAGTCAGATCGAGTGAAACTTTCCGCATGCCATGGTTGCCGCGGGAATCCGCTATTGACGGATAGGAAGAATGTGAGGTCGATTTTCCATTCTCCTCAGTTGGGAACGGTTGTGAATCGGTGGAGACTGATATTAGGGCGAATTCATCGATAGACCCATCACTTTCTTCGTCATCGAATGAAGAACCCTCGTCACCATCATCGTCATCTTCGTAATCTGTCGCGACGCCCGATTCCTCACAGCAGCCAGCATCAACTGTTGCACTGAACGGATTACCTCTACTTCGAGTGCGGTCTCTATTAGGACCACTTTCACCACCATGATCCGGCACTGCCATCCCGTCGGTTAGATTACTGGCGCTGTTGTTGCTGGCTGTGTTGGTACTAATCTCTGCGGGTCGGCTGCGATGCCCGGCAGTGAACAGAGTCGCATCCGAGAGCACACTATTCCCGCCAACACCGGGGACCAATCCCAAAGTGAGTGGATCACGGTGATTCACATGCTGGCAGTCGGTGTTGAACGGCGCCAACGAAGTCGTAATCAAAGTAGGTTTGAGTGCTTGTGGGAAACTGTGTGGAAGATTAAAGGATGTTGATTGAAATCGAAAGGCCTCGTTAAGTGGCTGGCTGCATGACCGATTGATAGTAGCGGATTGAGGCAATAGTGAAGAAGCGTCCAAGGATGAATTAGAATGAGGCGCCAAATACGTATTTGTGGAGGAAACCAGACGTTTGGATAGCGCGTGAACCTCGTGATACGAATCGAGCACAGGAGCAGGAGATGAGTAAGCACTGGTAGTTGGCAGAACGTCAGTTGGTGGGACGCGAGTGAAAGTGGGATACTCCGTGGCTGAGTGCCTGGAGGAAGCATTTTGCGAGTGTAAACCTCCAGGCGTATCTGATCCGTAGCCAGTATGAGCAGAGTGCGAGAAAACTTGCTGGGGAGATGGCCAGTACTCATTTTGGCCAGAATATTTACCAAGGTGAGTTAAGACTTGGCCGAAACCCAAAGCTGCTGAATGCTCCAGATAATTTGTGGATCCTAAGGAGTGCAAAGGACGATCGGAATTCGAGGTAGCAAGATCCAGACTGTGTGGGAAAAGATATTCAGAGCCGCCAATCCGGAATCGCTTTGTGGATGACTGGTCTAATAGATGCGCAGGGGCAGAATCCCCCGCCATTTCACGTGGGGCGCAGATGGCCGAAGTGGGGCCAGATGATTGAGTGTGAGGGGTCGTGCACTCCAACTGAATGGAAGCAATAGAAAAGGAGCAATTAGATCTTCAATTTTTCAGTCCAGATTAAAAAGATGCAAGGAGAAAAAACTCAAAGTCCGGAAGTGGCCAAGTGGGAAATAGAGCAATCACTGAGTAATGATGACTCGTGCGTCGTGATGGTTACAAATCGGAAGGTGCAGCGACCACACATGAATACGGCACGAAGATTAGATATGAGGCCCAACCTAAAGGAACGGCGGCTATACTAACTAGGACAGGTACGAGTGGTCGACGAAGAGAGAGATAGCGACGGAGACAGTGGCTAGACAGGTCAATCCAAACTACGGTCTAGAGTAGAGTTGTTGTTGGCTGTTTAACCGGTGAGACAGTTCGCAAGTGTACCCCCATAAGTAGTAAGCCAACCGACGCGTACGCACGTGCTTGCAATCAGTTACAGAAATGGTATACGATGGTTAAATAAGTGGTGTGTGCGTGTTGTGCGCGAGAAGGTGAGTACGGTAAGGACACACTTTAACTTATGTATTTGGCTATTGGGTTTCGAGGAAACGTATGATAACACTGAAGGCATACGGGGAGCCTGGTTCGAATGTAATACCCACAGCCCCATTAAATCGAGAGAGATGAAGCCAAATACATGGAAAATTGTACACACGCGATAGACCACCGATCTGAACGAATCTTGAAAAGGGAACGCGAGTTACAAGAGCGAGCAGTAAATCGCTCATTGCACACGGCCTTCTGAGCAGACGGTATGGCGCGGTGCTGTCGCGTAGATAATTACCAGAATCATACGCGAACCCTGTACGCGTAGAATGAATGCTTCCACGTAGCTTGGAACTGAACCAGAAGACAGGGTTGAGAAGGCAACGTAGAAATAAGTTTGAAAATAAGGCTTTGTACACACAAAGATGTGCAGATTTGACATAAGTTTGGATGGACAAAGAGATAAAGTGAACCCATCCGTGGATAGCAACTCTAGTGGCTGTCAATACACCATGTTGTTTTCGGTCTTTTTGGGATTCAACCGTATTCTTGAGGTAGTGAGGTATTTTATTAGACGTCTCATCCGAATGACTGAAGAAGAAATTATTTTAACGAGAGGTTACGAATTAAATGCAGAAATGGTAATATGGTGACGGCCGATGGTGGGAACGCTAGTTTTCTTACCAGGTATCATTAGCGTATAGTTAGTATAGTGGAGCAAGTTGCATTGGGAAGCATCAAGAATTGATGCACGAAACTGAGAAGCAAGACTCAAAGATTAGAGAATAGTGGGGGAATATTGTGTTCGTCGCAGCTAGACTCAACCAGTACACATTCAGAAAAGCTCTAGACTGCCGTTTAGTCCTATTGCTACCTGTCAATAACGCGCATTCGCGTCGATGAATATTCACAAAAAGAGTCTTAAAGATGCTTATTTGCCCATTGCACAAATCCATCTCAGTCGCCTGTGGAATATGACCTACAAATGTCATCCCCTTCGTAGAGCAATTGTAATGCGACAGACAAGAGGCAAAGCTTATCGTCCGAAAACATGACCACTACATTGGCCTTTTTATGTACTTAAGGAAGCTAGTGCACTGCGCACTACCAACTCTGAATCTAGTCGTGATTTGTGACCGCAAAACTCAATGCATCGCTTGGGAACAGTACCACGAGTCCAGTGGCTGCATGCTTTAAGTTCTATTGTGATGGGGGTAACTCCCTATGCGCCAAGTAACAGATAGTTGCAACTTTACCACATCCAAACTAGTTCGAAGATCTTGGATTCACGTAAAAGTGAGTGTCTGAATCATCAATGCAAGCTGCCTTGGTCGAAACCATAAGTAGCAGGGATGTCAATCAAACTGATAGAACGGAACGAAATGATGGTTTAGTGACCGAAATGACACGGGGGCGTTCTACGATTTGCAAACGAGCCTGCCTTTCAACCACTGATTGCTTTGAGTACAGAGGAACAGGGACCCAAAACCGTTTGTCGTGTTTCAGCTCACAAACGAGACGCTGATCACAAGGACCATCATCAAGGATGCATGGAGGTTGAAACGTGAAATGGGGACGCTCGAACCACGTGACTGTAACACGCAACACCCGATGATCAGCCAGTGGAGCACATCGGGACAGGTTTTCATTTTGCATAACCTGATTTTCACACACACGCACACACACACCGGTTTGTCCAGTGCGCTCGTCTGAGTGAGATCAGGTTGTGTTGAAACGATCGGGCGCACGTACGTCGTGCACATAACCCAATCGAGCGTGGTGTCCTGATGAGGACACTGACAGGACAAGTTAAGGCACAGAACAGAAACGGGTCAAGTCAGTACGAGATCAAAATCACCACCAACGCGATGACCACAGTGAGCAGGAGACCCAGCAAGTAGCAAGCAAATCTGCTGCAAGTTAAAACACAACAAATGCGTTTCGAAGGATGAGCAACGGATCAGGACGGGTCGAGGTGACCGAACTCGAAAGCAACCAAGTAAGGCCCAGCCACACGGACGGTGGTTAAAACGTAATCGTTGTAATAGTTGGTGAGTCAACGGAACAGAGCAATTCGGCAGATAAAAGTTAATTGGCGACATGAGAAAAACATATAGACGAAACGATTATATTTTATCAAAAGGGAAAACATTACAGTAACTCGGAACTTAAGTGACCAGAAGTCAACGTATACGCGGGCGACTCTGTAGGCTAGAGGGAACTGAGCACTTTTTGGACCGATGCAATTCAGTTATTAACTGAATGCGACTCGCGAACCGAAGTGTGTGCCAGGTAACGCAGTAACGAAATGTTTGGAGCAGAGTGGAGGAAGAACTCGGATATAAACCAACAGAGAGAGGCACAAAAGGAATAACTGGCCATTGGATGTAAATATATGGGATCGAGAGACCGAGTGCGACAGTGCGCACATAGACCTCTCGTCTACACCACGGCGACCACTTATGTGGTCGATCTCCGAGGCTTTGTTCGGGAAGACGGTCGATTTATCCCTGTATCCATAAACTAGTTTTGATTTGTCAGTGAGGAACTGCACTCAACTAGGTGCAGTAGCGATAGTCAACGCGAATGGAAGCAAGCGGTGAATAGGAATTCGATTAACGACTTAGTATGGATAGAGATCGACCAAATGGAGATCAGAGCCCCTCTGGTCCCCAGCAATACACCGACTGGCAGGTAGTGGGGTAACCCGTTGCTGCGAATGAGATAGGGGCGGTGGCTCCCAGATGGCAGTGGCTTGAGAGGACTAATCCTTCAATATCATCAAGGCGTCGCAGACACTTCCCTGCGTGTAAATGGTAGGGGGATTTATTAGGTTATTGTGTAGATTCGTCACAGTTAGACAAAGGCTGATAGCCACCACACACCTAGGAAAGCGCTAGACGGCCGTTTCGTCCTATTGGGACTCGACAGTAGCGCGCACTCGCCGAATGCTGCCGGATTCGAACCCACGACCTTACTCTTGCGAGTCAGCGACTTATGTCATTGAGCCATGGGTGACGGCAGCGGCCCGCCATGACTGATATCTAACTGCGATATAGCGCGGCTAAACGGTTGGTTGATAAATTACCGTCTTCCTAGCTGACCGCGATTTTAGAGAGGATAAGCACGTACGTTGCAAAAGTACTCGGCAGCTCCAGTGTGTGGACAGTTGAGATGTAGTGTGAAGTATTTTGATTCAAACGACCACTTTAACTGGAGGGCAGCCGGTATGGCTGTGTAATAATATGCCGATTTTTTGACATTAATACACGTCAAAATTTGCGCCGCTCTAATACAACCCATCCGCCAACACTTTTACAGGATGTGGCGATTGGAACAGTTGACATCTAGTTCAGGTGTTGAAGAGCTTCGCTCGGCATACAAGATTCAAAGTGTATAGGACTTGGTCGGCACACTTTATCCTGGTGCGTTGAATATAAGCCTCAACCTGGGATTTGGTAAAAGTGGTAAGTTTCGGGGGTTCGCTGGCAATTTACTTTTGTTGCAGCGATTACAAGAATTGACGAAAGGTATTCAATGTAAAAGGTATTCGATGTAAACATTCACATGAGTAGTCTCGCGACAGACGCAACAAGGTACATTCACTAGATTATCCAAAGAGCGAAATACACCCGGAGGGAGGAGTTTCCTTAAAAAGTTTGCAAATAAATAAATAGATGCGAGCTCGAGCCATATAAAACGCGCACATTAGGTATTGTATCCGACATTCGGTATCGAGCACACACAAGGAGGGTCAGCAAACGGGGTTTGATCGTGAAAACCTCCAGCAACAGATTGAAGAGGATGGGGAACAAAAACAATTCTAGAACCTCGCATAATGTGACGAACACAACTCAACGTGGATGGCAATAGGATTCAGAGATTCATCTGGTGACAAGTACGAGAAAGTTCGCCGAAACGCCATTCAAGTAGATAAATTCGACCCATTAAAGAAGCAGCAATCTTCTGGTACAAACGGGGGCACACTGTCTTTACGTGCGGTCTTACCGAAGCACATGAAGCAGCGTAACCATATGGTAGTCGTAACCTCGGCCTGAATTAAAACCAATGTGACCTTCACCCTGATGCATACGGATGACTAAGAGGCAAATGTGATATGCATGCAACCAAAGTGTCCAAAGCACAGCTCGAGCTGACTGGAGGGTCATTTTGAAGTACACTTTGTGTGACTGGACTGAGACACGTAATCACAATGTGGACCGTGATTCGCACTGAATAGAAGCCAATTTAATCACTAGGACAGTAGCTGAAGGATTACTGATCACCGGTAGTAAGCAGCAAGGAGAGATTTCTCTGTGTAGCTGCACATACTATCACTCAGGGAAAAAGACCCCGTACGTTGGGGTGCGCTCGATATATTTTATACTGGAAAAGTTTGTCCAGGAACTTCTTAAATTCCGACACTGACTTTGCCTCAACTACGTGCTGCGACAGGTCTTTCCATACATTCACCACTCTGCCTTCAAAACAGAGTTGGTGAGTGAAATGCTTCAAGTCCGGTACGA